TCAGCTTCTTCCCGACAATTTCAAATGTGGTTCCACAAAAATTAATTTGAAGTCATTTCTTTTCAACTTCAGCTTCTTCCCAGCAATTTCAAATGTGGTTCCATCCATTTGGTAAGTTTGTAAAATTTTTGCAACCACATCATCATATTTAATTGAATCTCTTCTTTTAACCTTGTTTTCACTCAATGTATCAACCAGAAGTGAAAAATGTGTCTTTCTCAATACTGTCAAATGCTCCTCTCTGAGTTTTGTTGTCTTGAAAAATTTGATAAGAGATTGAATGTTGGAACGGTAGACATATTTTGCTTCATTATCATGTATCTGTTCAGTCCTAGTTTTTCTTCCATTAATTTTTTTCTTCCCTCTCAATTTGTGGAGCTCTGTAGGTTGTTTCAGTTGTTCCTGTTTGGGCTCCTCATTATCAATGTTAGATTCAGGTTTAACTTGTAGTTGATTTTCACTTTCATGTGTTGTTGGCTCTATAACAAACTCAACTTTTTCAATCTTTTTTTTCTTTGATAAACTTGTTTCTCGACAATGTAATCTTTTATGATGACTAGCAACATCTGTAGAAAAACATTGAGCATGAACATTGAAAATTAAGAAGACTTTTATCACTGAACTAGGCAAACTAAGAAGAATTTATTAATCTATTATGCAAATTAAGCAAATATATAAGTGTATAGCAAAGTTTAGTTTCCAAATTGCAAAAGAACATGAAATATCATGATGAAGATGAAAACAATTGTATAGCAAATTTTATCACTGAATTAGCAAAAGTAAGAAAATGCATCATTGTATAGCAAATGAACATAAAGGTGTGATTGTTATGATGTTGAATATCACTATAAATTAATACTGTATGGTACAGATTCAAAATAGCTTCAAGTCGAATTTTATCACTCAATTATAGTTATGAAAGAAGAAGGGAAGCAAATCCATCGTTATAATAAATTTTATCACTCAATTAGAAAAATTAAGCAAATCTATCATTCTTATAGCAAATTTTCTCACTGATTTGGGCAACGTAAGCAAATCTGGCATTGTATAGCAAATTTATCACTGAATTAGCAAAAGTAAGCAAATCCATCATTGTATAGCAAATGAACATGAAGATGTGATTATAATAAAGTTGAATATCACTCATAAATTAGTAATGTATGATACACATTGAAAATAGCTTCAAGTTGAATTTTATTACTCAATTATAGTTATGAAAGAAGAAAGGAAGCAAATCCATAGTTATGAAATAAGAAGAGAAGCAAATCCATCATTATAACAAATTTCATCACTCAATTAGGAAAATTAAGCAAACCTACCATTCTTATAGCAATTTTTCTCACAAAATTGGGCAAAGTAATCAAATATGTTATTGTATATCAAATTTTATCACTGAATTAGCAAAAGTAAGCAAACCCATCATTGTATAGCGAATTTTATAACTCAATTACAGTTATGAACGAAGAAGGGAAGCAAATCCATTATTATAACAAATTTATGACTCAATTAAGAAAGTTAAGCAAATCTATCATTCTTATAACAAATTTTCTCACTGAATTGGGCAAAATAAGCAAATCTATTATTATATAGGAAATAAACATAAAGATGTGATTATTATGAAGTTCAATATCACTTAATTATATTTATAAAAGAAGAACGGAAGATGAATACGACTTACGTTTCATTCGCATGTTTGTTGATGATGAACCAAACAGGGAATATAGATCGAAACGGTGAAGGATTTGCTGGGATCTGTTCGGAATCAGATTATTGATCGAAACAGAGGTGATTTCTTTGGAAACGATTTGAGATACAGGGAAAATCTCTTCGTTTGTTTCGATTTCCAAATCGCAAATCGCCTCAGAATGGTTTCCAAATCGCCTCAGAATAGTTTCTAAATCAGAACAATTGAGAAGGAGCGTGTGTTTCACATGCACAGGGGAGACCTCGTGATATATTTTTTGATTCACGTGTGTGGTGTGACATTCAGGGGTAAAATTGGAAACTGAAATAGGGCAGGACTTGGTGGGTATTAATTTGTTTTCATGGGACCGGCAGGTAAGTCCCCCTAATCATTACACTCTTCTCTCACAAAAAAAGTCAAAAGGTCTTTCCCAAACGAAGATTTTTAGCCCAGGCTAAAATAATCAAAAAAATCAAAAAGCTAACCCACTTCTCAAACCAACCCTATATAAAATATCATACGATAGTAAATATCCAATACGAGTTTGACATGTTTGTTGAAATACTCACTTTATAGGTTATATTATAATGGTCCTTAAATGTATCTGTTCATTTTGAATGTGCATACCATTCAATTGAAAAAATGCCGCGCACTTTTCTTGAAGATTACTGATGACCGATCTTTTCATTCTTAGTACCGTCCATGACTTTCTTTTCCCTTGATCTGTGTTTATTTTGAGGATTTGAGGAGAGATTTAAAAAAAAAAAAAAATTAAATAAAATGTGAATAAAATATACTTACATTTTACCTAATTCCATATCCCTTTTTTCTTTCTCTTTACAAATCCCTCTCTCAAAAAATAAAAAATAAAAAATAATCCTCAAAAGTTATTGCTATGACATGGCCCGGAATTGAAATGAAGGGTATTAATAGCTACCACACTCTTATTTTATTTTTTGCATCGACATTTTCAGTGGTGGAACAAAATCGCTGACAAAGAAGGTAAGAATATTAGTCTCAGTGCCTACTAAGTGGAGAAAAAGCACTTATGTTTGGCGAATGGGAGTTCAGTAATGGATTCTAAAAGGTCCTGAGGATCACAAAGGACCTCCTCAAAGCAAAAAGCTCAGCCATGTTGAGATATCAAAGCTAAAAGCTTCCCAACAATGATTGGGACTCCCTTTTTTTTAGAGACCCTCACAACCTCTCGAACCATCAATGATTAAGATTTAAAAGGATTGTGAAGATCTTCAAAAGAAGGGGTCCAAGCACTTATCCTTCAATTGGTTCTTTTTCACTTTTCTTTTTCCCTTTTGTAAATGAATTTACATCCACGAAAGTAGACGTGATCTGTTTCAAAAATTACAATCTTGGAACAGGAGGGTATCGATTTTGTTGTGTTAAAAAAAAGAAATCATATTGTTATGACTGTGAAGTTGCAATGTTGAGATTTCATGTCATTGCAATAGTTACATGTTCTAGGATAAACCAAGCATGGATTAAGGCCTTGTTTAATGCAGCTTACGGAGGCTACTTGTAATAGTTACTTTTTGTCTTTTTTTAAATTTGAGCTAGAATATTTGGTGTAGCTTCTACTCATAACTTATAAGGCAAAAATAGCTTAAACAACTTGGAAAAAAGTTGTTCTAGCGAAGAAATGAAAGGATTGTGGAATCTTTTATCAATAATTAAGGATCTTATAATCTCAACACAGCTGGAGCCTTGTAGATGTACTTTCTGAAACTGCCCTTACTGAAATCCTCTGTGAGCATGATTCTCATTTGAAAAATCCGACTCAAGGATATAATGATGAACTCTGTGCAGTGAAGCATATAGGTTCAGAAAATGGCAAATAGAAAAATAATGAGATTCATATGAAAATTTATTTCAATACAAGCAGCTATCAAGTTGGACTTTAATTTTCAATTTCAGTTGCAATTTGGGAGGAGGGTTTCAATCAAAAAATGCAGTGCATTCTGTGAATTTTTCAAGAAATAAATAAATAAATTTGTGCGCCCTTATACTTATTGTTCCTTCCTGGACATGATGTTTTTATCTTGAAGTAAATACGGATATCCGCGAAGAATATATTATCCATTTCTTGGGAACATGGATTATACTACAATTAGAATATCCTACTAAATTCTCAGTTGAAAAAAAAAAACGAAAAGAAAAAAGAAGAGAGCACCAGTCAGGTTGCCGAATTGGATGTTTCATTTGAAAAGAGCGAAGGTTCAAGTAGGAAGGACCACAGTATAAAGCAGAAAGCTAAGTTCAGCTAGAATAACATTCCCAACAGCCAAACAAGTTGCAGAGATTGCGAGCGAACCATGCTATTTTTTATTTTTTATCTTTTAATGTGGAAACATCGATCATACTACAATAAGAATCTCCTGCAAAATTCTTAGTGGAAAAGAAAAAAAAGAAAAAAAAAAGGAAGGAGAAGCATTAGGACTAGTCCACTGGCATTGCTGAATTGGCTGTTTCATTTGGAAAGAGCAAAGCTTAGGAAGGACCACAGTATAAAGCTGAATGCTAAATTTAGCTCAAATAGCATTCCCAATGGAGGAACAAGTTGCAGAGTTTTTGAGCGATCTATGCGAGTTTTCATTTATTTTATTTTGTTTTTGAAAAATGTTTGAGGGCCTGAAACCAGTGGCTCGAATTCGGATCGAAACCCAAAACGACATCGTTTTGGGTTTCAATTTTTTTTTTTTTCTTTTTCTTCCTCTTCTTTCTTTTCTTCTTCTTCTTCATTTTGAACACAGGAGAAGCAGAGGTGAGAGAACGAAACAGAGGCGAGAGGCGAGAGCTTGTCGTCGTAGCTCGTCGCTCGTTGCAGCTCGTCAGCCGATTGTTGCATCGCAGCCCCGCCTCCGCCCGCCTCCAGCCCAATTTTGATGGCCCCTCCAATTCTGCTTCTCCTTCTTCTTCTTCTTTCTCCTTCTCTTCTTCTTCTTCTTCTTCCTCCTTCTTCCTTCTCAAATTCGAGCCAAATTTGACTCGAAACCCTTTCAGGCTCTGTAACGGGGCTGTTTATTTTTTGTCATTGTAGATCCTTTATCATTCCTTTCCATGCGGCTGGACTTTTTGCTTTCTCCTCCAAAAAGGTAGATCATATTGAATCCTTTTTCCCCAAAAGAAAAAAAAAAAAACAATAGACCAGTAATAAAAAAAAAAAAAAAAAAAGACCTTCACTGGGAGTAGACTCTGTCAGTTTTGTGATTTCCTTTGTTTTATCATTTTGTCACCAAAAAAAAAGTTGAAAAAAAGGTAAAAATATACATACATTTATCAAAACCATAGAAACAAGAAGAACAAAATTTACAAAATTACTAAGCATATATCTTTCCCATTATTTGAAAAACAAATTAGATCAAGAGATACAGAGTGGCGCTGGCAGCAGCTTTAGTAATAGCTAGTACAATCTCTTTCTTTCCCTTTTTTTGGGGGGGATTTAGAACGATGGAACGATTCCATATCCTCCTTCAGCTGCCATTAGTGATGTGGAGAACATCTGGTCAACTTCTACCTCTGCATCTGTTCTCTTTGCAAACCGGCCTTTGATCCGAGGCCTGGTTTCTGCATAGGCCTTTCTTGAGGCGTACCTAATTGTCTTCTCGAACTTTCTCGTCTTCTTCTTCTCCCTATACCTTAAAACTCTAGCCTCCCTGTCCATTGGAGTGAGTTGAGGAGGCATATGAAGAGGAGGGCTGGAGAAAAGGTCAATTGTGCCCTTGGGAGGCCTTGGGTGAGAGATTGAGACATCACTCATGGTGGATTCTGGGACAACACCAACATCCATTGATGAAACAGAGACCTGATTTCACAATCAAAGAATACATACATCATTGGTTATATTCCAAATTGCAGAATTGAATAAAAGAGGAAGCAAAGAAGAGAAAATAGACAATTTGTAAGAGTAATGTTATACAGACAGAAAATATAATTTGACATAATGATGTGGTAATAATGAGACCATTTATTTCGAAATAAAATACCCATTAATATGGCTCTTTAATTTAAAAAAATGGCATCACAACATCATTCAGAGGTTAGAAGTTCCCAGTAAAAGTGGAAAAAAGAGACCATAAAAGGGAAGATTAAATATGAGAAGACGATTCTCACATCCCATGTGTTAGGAGCAGGGTAAAATAGATGGTAAGAAGCATATGGCCCAAGCAGAGCAAATAAATATCAAGAAAAATGCCTAACTGAGGTACATAAGAATAACGAGTACGGATTGTTTTGAGTTTCTTTGACCTAATTGCGTCTGATAGACAAGGAATTTAAGATAAATAGATAGGAGAGAAGGGATGGGTGAACTTCAACACAAAATTATAGCAAAATCTTGAATTAAATTATAAAATAATTCTAATTTGGAAAATAGTTGTAAAGTATTCCCATTCGAATGTCATAGGAAGCTGTTGCACTAGATTGTGTGTCACAAATTCTTCGATTCTTCTATCTCAAAGCACTAATAGTTGGTAAATTCTGTATCGAGATTTCATATCTCGAGATTCTAACATAATTTGATGGTGAATGTTTTGGGACAGAAAACAGAAAAAGTTAAAGACAGAAGATCCTTGGCCAGAAGCTCCTACCGACCACCACAAATCCAACAAAAACCCATAAAAATGACTAGGAAAAACAGCATATATAAACTGAAGTAGTTTTTGTCATGAAAAACTTACACTGTGACTGACTGAAGCAGGGTAACCATACCCACTCTTTGAGGTCTCAAACTCCATCATCTCCAACTGATAGTTATGGGTTTGCTGCTGCTGCTGCTGCTGCTGCTGCTGAAGAACCAAACCCTTTCCCTCTCCACACTGAACTGGCACAACACTATCACCTCCATAGCTCTTCTGAGCAACATTATAATGATCTGCAAATTGATTCTCTTGACATGTATTGTACTCAGCAAGGTCCAAGTACTCATCAACAACTTCCCCACCAAACAAGAACCCATTGATGTTGTTCTGACTATTGTTGTTGTTGTTGTTGCTCTTCCCAGGATTGACTAAAAGCCATGAAGCAGCCTCGTCGTCATTGTCATCGTCTTCTTCGTCGATTGTTCGGTCGGCCTCCGGGGCCAAAAACCCATCATCGGGATCTGCCGTGGCGGTGGCCTGAGGCTCCGCGTTGCCGTAAAGGGAGACGGGTAGGGGGAGAATTGGGATGCGGTGGTGGCGGCGCGCGAGCGGGTTGGCAGCGTGGATGTCTGCGTCGCAGGCGGTGCAGAGCGATGCCGCGTCAGCTTTGCACACGAAAGACGCCGGAGCTCGCTCGCACGCCTCGCACACCCACACACGCTCGTGGCGGTTGGCCGCGTGGATCCGGGCGTCACATGCGGCACAAAGGTAGGCCGAGTCTGTACGGCAGTATACCGTGCAGCCGGCCGACTGGCATGTGTCGCATACACGCGCCCAATTGGTTTTCCCAATACTGCTACTCTCTTCCTTCAAGTTCAACATTTTCTCTCTCTACTCTCTATTGGTTTTTTTCTTTTTTTTTGGGTCTTGTGGGATTAATGAGTGAAGAGAATGGTGAGGGAGAGGAGGTAACTGTAGGCAAATTACAAGTGGAAGAGAATCCAAGGGATCCACACGTGGCAGGATTTTACTGGTGAAAAAAGTTGCCACATTATCTCTTGTGGTTGGCTGTGGGAGTGTTGAGAGTGGGTCCGGGGATGTTCTCGTGGGGACGGACCATATGCTTTTGTCTATTAAAAAATTAAAAGTAAATTGATGAGTTCACTATTTTATTATGAGATTAAAAATTTTTAAAATGTAATTTTTAAAATAATAAAAGTTGATTTATATTTTAATTAAATTTTAAAGTATATTTATAATTTATTCAAAAATAAATTATTAGTTACTCTCAAAACATAATACTATTAAGAAAAATTATATACCAATTTATCTATTTCAAAATAAAATGTGTAAATGAGATGATTGATTAATGATTAGAAAAGATAAAAGAGGGAGAGTTACCTAAGATTTTCTAATTGATTGTCACATTATTAGATTTGAAAAGTAGGTCTAATTTTTGAGTTAAAATAACACTGCTCTAATAATAAAAGACTTTCTATATGTTTGCATATATAAATTTTTTTTATTCCAACACTTCTCTAAACTCTCGCCATCTCCATCACACCTTCTCGATTTTCTCCGCCCCATCTTCAAAGGGAGGGAAAATGGCATGCGAAGAGAAAATTACTGAGGCACACAACACAATGAGGGGCTTAAGGGTACTAAGCCAACTCGTGCCCTGTCAAAAGGGGAACCCTGAGAGCTCCTTATATAAGGTTTGGGAACTACTATTGTCAGACCAGAACTGGTTGCTTCCTGAGTGAGTAGTGCTTTGAGTAGTTGTACATGTTATTCTGGCAGTTTGTATATTGCAGTCAATATTGCTCTAGAAAAAGTAGTTCCTGCAGGATGTTGTTAAACCTTGCATTCATAAATGCAAAGGCTGAATGAAATAGAAATTTTTATTTATTATTTTTTTCCTTTTTTTCTCAAATTTAAAATCCAAACATATATGAAAGTTGGGTTGCCTTAATACACTTCGTAACACGCAATTAACAGGATAAGGCAATATTTTTATGGGTTTTCTGCCCGTTAACAAAATTTATATTTTATTAGAGGTTTTGATTTTTAACTCAATGCATTTTGTTTTTATATTTTAGCATTCGGTGTGATTAGGGTTTAGTTTGTTTCAACGTAAAATATTTACACTCAAAAAAAAAACTCTGCTGGAGCAAAACGCACCTGCCACCCACTCGTCACCACCACCACCACCACCTACTACCCACCCGCCACCACCATCCGCCACCCGCCACCACCAACCACTCGTCACCACCCGCTACCCACTCGCTGATTTACGCAAAGACAAGCCATCCACCACTCACCTGCCACCACCATCCACTCACCTATCACCACTTTCTACCATCGTCTTCCGCCGCCACCACTTTCCACCACCGTCTTCCGCCACCACCACCCACCCACTCGTTACTTGCCACCACTTTCCACCACCGTCTTCCGCCACCACCACCCACCCACCCGCCACTTGCCACCACTTTCCACCACCGTCTTCTGCCACCATCACCCACCTCCTGCCACCATTTTCCACCACCGCCTTCCGCCACCACCATCTGCCATCATTTTTCACCACCGTCTTCTGCCGCTACCACTCGTCACCACCCACCACCTGCCACCACTTGTCATTTCTCACTTTTTTTTATATTTTTAAATTTTTTAAACATCTTGTCTAAACCAAACGCGTTTGTAGTTTATGTTTTACTAAAAATAAATAAAAATCAGTTTAAAAAATTTTTGTAAATATAAACTGAAACGTGAACGTTACCAAACAAGCGCTAAACAAATGATAATATTATTTTTCATTTACATGCTAATGAATTATTGATTAAAACAATAGCTCAAGTAAAGCTAATATAATTATATTAAAAGTGTAGAGTTAATTGTATTTTTCTAAAACTTCAAGAGATGTGAGTATATTTTACTCTAATATTATTTAGGTGGTACGCTTGGCTGCACACACTAACGCCTCGTTTATTTGGATAAAAAATATTTTTTATAAAAGAAAATTCATAAAACATTTTTCAAGGAGAACATTTTGTATGCTTGGTGAAGGTGGTGGCATGGTGGTGTGTGGCAGCAGAGGTAATAGTGACGGCAATATTGATAGTGGTAAAAGCAATGATGGTGGTGTGATGTACAGAAAATAGTGATGGTAATAGTGCGATAATATTAATAAAATTTAATTTGAAAAACATTTGGTAATTTTTAAAAGTAAAAAATATTTTTTATTCAAGTAGATTTGTTTATCATTAATTCGATAAGATATTTTTGTTGAGTTTTATTTTTCATTATATTATCGCATAACAAAAAATACAAAAATTATTTTCACCAAAACAAACAGAGTAATTTAACATTCTGTTTATAAAAAAATTTCGTTACTTGATTAGTTAAAAATACCACGTAAAACTACAAAATTACTCTGGCGAGTATAGTTAAGTGGGGAGGACTCTATGATTAAGGAAACTTGTGGAAAGGAACTACCACTATTTTAGCTGAGTCAGATGGACAATTGATGAGTTACGAAAGATTCTTTAAACGACAGGTGTCAGTCATATTTCGAGTTTGCTAAGTTTTTGTAAACTTTGACCCCGTGAGTGTGTACACGTGGTGGCTTGTTTGGCCATGTTTGGAGGGTGTATGATAGTTGTGCCAATCTGTTCTCTCTCTCCTTGTCAGCATAAATTACAACTCCAAATGTTACTCCTCAAAAAAAAAAAAAAAAAAAAAAAAAACTATAGATCTAGTTTAGAAATTGATTATTGTAGCTTGTTTTTTATTTTTTTATAAAAAATAAAAAAATATCTAAAGTATACTAATTTTTTATATGTCATATTTTAACCAAAAATTTAAAAAATAGTCTATTTCTAAACAAGGCTAGCCAAAAAGCTAGCTTCTCAAACAACCCCATATAAAAACTAGCATCAATTATAAATATGAATTATTTCCTGTAATTCTAAAAGTTATATTCTATCTCTTGAAATTCTTAATTTCATAATAAATTGTCTATTTTATTAATAAATTATCAAGTTATTTAATAATTTTTAATGATATTACAAATTTATTTTAATTAATAATTTTAGTAATTTTATTATTGTATAAGAGAGCAATTAGAAATTTTATTTTTTACAATTAATTATGTTAAAAAAATTATAATAAGATGATATTTGTAATTTTTCAAACCATAAAGGCAATTGTATTTTAAGCAAATCTTAAGGAATATTTATAATTTATCCTAAAAAGTAAGATAAAGAGAAAGTATAATAAATTTTACAAATTTAATATAATGAAATTAATTTTTTTAAGGTTTTTGATTCATATAATACATAGTAATATTTTTATCAAAATATTGTTAGTCATATAAATAAAAAAATAATATAGTAATACTTTAACTTATTTATCTTAGTATTTTTAGATTTTTAGCATTAGTTATGAGCTATTTAAGCTTACTTAAAATAGAGTAGATATAATTATGTTAAAATTGTAAAAATTATTATATTTTATTTAAATTTCTAGAAAATATATGTAATTTAAGAGTCTTGTTCATGCACACAAGGGGGGGAAAAAGAAGGTATATATTTATGAGAAAAATATTTAAAAAAGCGTAGAATATGATATATATTTTATTAATTTTAATTTTTAAAATTATTTTCTATATTTTATAAAATATTGTTGAATATTTTTTTACAAATTAATGTGAAGCTTAAAAAGTAAAGACTTGATGTTAGTAATGGAGCTCATTAAAATTAAATTATGAGAGTTAAAACTGAGAGATACTCTCAACAAATAGGGTAATGCCATGTGGCAGTCGACTAGATCAGGATCCACCTCCACCACAAGTTCGGTGACAGCAAGAAGGGAGATGACCCTGACCGACCTCATAAGATTTCTGGGTTCATGGAGAAGTATGCCTTTTTAGAATAGAAAAATATTATAATGACAGTTTTATTTTATAAAAAATGTTAACAACAGTCAAAAACAGTTTAAAATTTGTTGTTAATGATAAAAAAATATTTAATAATTAATACTTGAGTAAGAAGATAAAAAATTATTGGGTAAATTACAATTTACTTTCTTTATGTTAGGCCATTTTCCCGTTTTGGCCCTTGGAGTTTTTTTTTTTTTTTTTTCTTTAAATTTTTTTTTTCCCATTTTGACTTTTTTCATGTTCTAAGTTTTTTCTCAATTTACTCTTAAAATTAACTTTTATTCAAAATTAGATAGAAAATGCGACGGTATCTGCGACATGACATAAAAAATATATTATTATTTGGGATTTAGATGTGTGTCGAAGGTGTGAGTTATATATATAAAAAAAATATTTGTATGTCACATGGCTGTCAATGTGTCATATTCTGTCTAATTTTGGACATAATAAGTTAGCTTTTGAAGTAAATTGAGAAAAACTTGAAACATGAAGTGTTAAAATGAGAAAATGACCAAACATGAAAGGCTCAAAGTGTAATTTACCCAATATTGTTCCTGGTAACCACATTGGAAAATTCAATGCACTTTTTTTCTTTTTCTTTTTCGTTTTTTTTGAATTAATTAGTTGCAATTGAAGATTTTCCAAATGATGATTGTTTTTTGAACTAGAAAATAACATAATTTTCATTTTTTCCTCCTTTATTTTATTCAGGGGAGGGATATTAGGTCAATTACCAGGCCTGTTGTGTGTTTCCAAGTATACATTTTAATTGAAAACAATAATAGGTCTGTGTCTGCTACATTTTGTTAAAAGCTGACATGAATGTGTTAGACTGCATGCTTAACCAGTAGTGTCAAATATCAAAACAGTAGACTAAGTCCTGCATACTGTCAGCATTTTAGAGAGTTTTAGTGGGTAATGATGCTTTTCCCTATCTTTTTGCTGTTCCATAGCCAAACTTGTATGAATTGAATGAAGAAAAGAAAAAAGAGCAAATCTCCAGGGCAGAAGAGAAGAGTCAA